AGCCATCCCGTCGAGGGGCGCGCCGGGACGAGCGCGCGACGGGGCTGAGAGACTGAAATTCAGCCATCCATGATCATACTGTGATTGATAGATGGATAATCAATTGTTCGACTGGATAAATCAAAGGGTCCCGCCGGGCTAGAAAATAACAAAAGCAACTGCTCAGGAGCTGCATCGTTGCGATTATTGAAGCAATTACACGCGATGGACGCGCTCCGAGCGTGGCCGAGTCCGCAGTGGTGAAGGTGTCTCTCTGCAGTAGGTGATTGCGTGGGACGGGTTCTTTGGGCCATTGAGGCGGATTCAGCACATCACCTACTGCAGCGGCCGACGCCGTGAAGTCGGCGTTCCGGGCCTCCATGGGGACGACGAAACGGCCGAGATCGGCACCGTGGGGTGGCCCTCCGCAGTAGGAGATGTACTCGATCCCACCGGACACATACTGGGGACGGGGCTCGGGCGGTGGTGTCGGCCCAGACCGCGTTTCTGGACGTGGGGGCCGGTTGGGCTGCCGCGCCACGTTTCTATGCGCGCGTTGGCGGTCGATGTTTTCGACGTCGATGGCCGAGCGGATCAAATGGGACGCCCGCGGTACATAGACGAACGATTCCCGACGCTCCGTGCGCTCGAACACGGTCGAAAAGGGTGCGGGGGACGCCGAAAACCCTCTTCCGACCCCTTGGGACGCCCCGCGCGCGATGCGGCGCAATCCTCGGGAGTGACATCCCGCGGGGAATGTGTCCGCAACAGGGTTCCGGTCCTCGCAGCCGCGGGGATCGTTGCGCAACTCTGCATCTGCGTCGAGCTACGGGCTGGAGAAGACGAGAATTTCGTCCATCGACGCTGCAAAAGGGCTGCTCGCAGCCTGATTGTTTGAGTTGCTTTTTCGAGGAATCGATCCAGTTGCTTTTTTTAGTTTTTAGCCCGGCGGGGGTTTCGAGTACTCATCAGTTGGTGGGTCCATGGGGGGCACATCCTGACTTCCAGCCGTCTCTGGGGCGCCATTACGGCGCCATGCAGTCCCGGGCGACCCACCACCGAGGCGCCTTGGACACTGCGAGTGATAGAGACCGAATTAAACCCTCCGCGCGGACGCCATGGCGCGACCGCGTGCAGCCCCTGGAGTCCGCGAGGGCCACAGAGCAGCTCCAGCACGCCGCCGTAGTGCGCGTTGAAGGAGTTAGCGGTGCCGGACCATGGCCCAACATAGTGACCATCGCCTCGAGGCAAATTGGTTGAGTTGCACCGCCCTGCGCCGGAGCCGTGCGGTGCCGAGCGAGTGCTGCGAATCGCTCCTCGAGAAGTCGTGCGTCGGCGGTCCGAAGATCGCGTCGCCAAGGCGTCAAACTCTCGTCCAAGCCGGAGACATATATGGCCCTGGGATTGTGATGAAGTCTCAATGATTGTGAGGCCGTGGAGTCCACCATTGCCGCCCCGGAGACGGTCGTCCGACGGCGCTGCGTTTCGCGTGCCGTCGCGCGATCTCGGCATCGGGGGTACGACATGCCGCTTCGGACAGGCCGTAGGCATAGTATATCGACCGATGAGCCGAAATTGGTTGAGTTGCACCACCCTCAGCGGACGCGCCCGCCGATTTTCGTGCTCGAATGCGGCGTCGAAACGGACGCGCCGATTTTCGCGTTCGCCCAACCTCCGACGCCGACCCCGACGGCCAGCGACCCGCTCGAAGGTGTCCGCCGGCCGCTCGCGGCGCCACTCGGCTGCGGGCGATGTCTCTGCCGAGCGCGCGTGCCCCCTTGGCAGCCCTTCCCCATGCTCTCTCTGTCTCGCAGCGCCACCTCGGGAATCATCCGTAGCGGCGTGCTCACGCGCCGACTGCTCGGCATAAGGCTTCTTGTTGTCTAGCAGCACTTTCCCGATCTACTTCGCTCGCTCTACTCTAGAATGTAGCGTCGAGGGGGCCGCGTGGCAGGAGCACGTACGGCCTCGGAGGCCCTGCTACGTCGTATACACGCGGCTCCGACAAAACAGGGCTTAGGACCGCCGCACGCCCGTGCACTCGAGCTCGTCGTCGTCGTCCTGCTCGAGCCACTTCTGGAGGTACTGGCAGGACGCGGGCGCGTGGCGGCCGTCGGCGCAGTAGCGGCGGCCGGGCGCCTCGGGCACGCAGCCCGCGGGCACCTCGCCGACCCAGGCGACGTCGACGGCGGGCTTGGCGATCTTGTAGCGGCTCGCCTTGGACGCGGCGGTCACGGCCGTGAACTCCTCGAGCTTCGAGTCGCAGAGGAGCGTGTCGATGACGAGCTTGACGTCGGCCACGGAGAGCGGCACCGTCGCGATGCCCGACCGCTCGAGCGCGCCGTGGATCTCGTCGAGCGTGCTCGTCTGGACCGACTGGACGTACTTGACGACGATCTTCTTGATGGCGCCGACGAACTCGTGGTCGAACTCCTGGTCCGTGTACCAGGGCCCGCCGGAGACCTCGCGCGTCGGCACGAGGTCGTAGGCCATGTAGAGCTTCTTCGTCTTCTGCTGCACGGACTTGACGGTCTTGACGAGCTTCCGCGACTCGAGGACCTTGAGCGCCTTGTTCAGCGTCTGCTGCTGCATGCTCGTCGCGTTCTTGATGTCGCGGAGCCAGACGCCCGCGTTCTCCGCGCGCTCGACGACCTGGAGCACGAGCAGCTGCTCGTTCGTGAGCTCGCTGAGCTTCTCCGCCTGCGCCTTGTCGCGCAGCCGGTACGTCAGGTCCTGCTTGCCCTCCTCCTTGAGGAGCTCGAGCCGGTTCTCGGCGAGCAGCTCGTTGATCACGGGCAGCAGCGCGGCGTAGCTCTCGCCGGGGAACTTCCGCTGCAGCGTCTCGTTGCTCACGCCCGCGTCGCCCTGCGCCGCGCCGAGCAGCTCGAGGAACTTCTCCTTGACGTCCATGGGCGCCATGGATTGCGCGCGCAGCGCGCCGTGCAGCGGCGCGCGGCGGCGCGCGGCGGCGGCGGCCGTCGAACCGTGCGGCAGCGCGCGGCGGCCGTCGACGCCGGCGCCGGCGGCAGTGGCTGGGATGTCGCTCTCGGCTCGCCAACACCGACATCAGCAGCCTCATTGCCGTCAACACGGTTGATAGCAGCCCCATCGGCGCGAAGCGGCCTGCCTGCGCAGCGCGTCGCGCGCGAGGCGCCGCAGCCCCATCGTTGCGCGAAGCGGCCCGCCTGCGCAGCGCGGCGCGCGCGAGGCGCCGCGGCCACGCACGCCTTGGACGAACCCGAACCATGGCGGCCCAGATCGAGATGAAGACGAAGCGGCCCGGCGACGCGACGCACTACGCCCGGAAGGGCGCGACCTGCCGCATCCACTACGAGGGCAAGCTCAGCGACGGCACGATCTTCGACTCGTCGCGCGCGCGGCAGAAGGCGCTCATGTTCAAGCTCGGCGAGGGCCAGCTCATCGAGGGCTTGGAGCAGGCCGTGGCCAAGATGTCGACGGGCCAGATCTGCTTGTTTACCGTGCCGCCGAGCCTCGGCTACGGCGTCAACGGCTACCTGCCCGTCGTCCCGCCCAACGCGACGCTCTACTACGAGGTCGAGCTCGTCGCCTTCTCCTTCGAGGACGACAAGGGCCACGTGTGACGCCGCGCGCCGCGCCGCGCCGCGAGTTGCCCGTTGCTCGCGGTAAGGCGGCGGCCGAGTCCGGGCGAGGGGGACCGTGGTTGTTGAAGCGCGCAGCGGCGTCGACGGAGCCCCCGCCGCCGCGAGCGCCGCGGGCTACTGCAACAATGGCTCACTATTGGCTCTGAGGCCGACAAAGCTGTTGCAGTCGCCGCGCGCGGCCAGTGGCTCGAATGGAGCACCGCTCCCTGCTCCTCCTCGCCCTCGCGGCCCAATCCCTGGCCTTCGTCGGCCCGTCGAGGCTCGCGGCGCCGACGCGCCTCTTCGCCGACGCGCCCGACGCCGCCGAGGTCGCCGACGCGCCCGACGCCGCCGAGGTCGCCGCCGCCGCCGTCCTCGGCGCGCGCGCGTCGACGTCCGCGCGCCTGAGCATCGCGTCGTCGAGCGCGGCCCAGCTCGCCGAGGCGGCGCGGCTCCGCGCCGAGGCCGGCGCGGCCTTTGCGCGCGCCGCGGAGCTGTCGCGCGCGGCGCTGGCGCAGGAGGCCGACGCCGAGCAGACCCGGTCCCGGGAGCTCGAGGAGGCCGTGATCGCCTACGGCGTGCTGGAGGCGGCGAAGCGCGCGCGCGCCGTGTCGGAGCGCGAGTACGTCGCGAGCCTCGAGGACCTCGTCGCGAAGACGCCCGAGGCCGAAATCGCCGCGCGGTTGAAGGACGTCGCCGAGTCCAAGGCCGAGGTCGCCGAGGTCGACGCGTCGCTCGCGGACGCGCTCGCCGCGGCCGCCGCGGACCTCGAGGCCGCGCGCGACGCCCTCGCCCGGGACGCGGGCGTCGTCGCCGCGGCGCTCGACGCGCTGCCCGGAGCCGACGCGTCGCCCGCCGAGGCCGTCGGCGCGGACTGGGCCGCGGTCGACGCCGCGGCCGCGCGCGTCGCCGCGGCGTCCGAGGCCGCCGCGGACGAGACCGCGCGCGCCGCGGCC